AGTTAGTCGGCATTCTACTATATTTTTAAGGGAATTTTAAATGTTTACTTGTGATTCAGCATGTGAACCATATGCAGTCTATGGGCTATAGTTTGGGCACCTGAACATCAAACAATTTACAAACAGCAGAAGCGCAGATATTTTCAGCATATTGTGTTTACGCCTCTGCTTCCTGTATCCACTGCCTTGGGACGTCCTCCCGACGTGAAAGGCACTATAAAATATAATTTTGTATTGTCATTTTGTAATGTATCTATAGTTGGATATCAACTTGAAAACTTCTTTGAGGTCACATCAAACTTTCTTTTCCAAAGGGAGCAAGCCCAATTCCCTTAACAACAGTTCATAAGATAGATTCCTTCCTGCTTGTACAGCAATAAAATCTGTAATTAGATAAGATGCAGGAAGTTTTATGAAGAAAACATTATTTAACTTCGCCAAGACTCACTGCAAGCTGGAAATGAGTCAGAGCAAGATCTGAGAATTAGGTGATAGATCCAAGGCTCGGGACCAGGCATTGGGAGCGAAAGACTAGATCAAGTCTGAGCAGGTTTGGGTGCCTGGACTTTGCTGAATGATCGAGAACCAGGCTGGGTTTGAGCAGGAAGTGATGAGGGTTCAGAAGAATTCAAATGGGTTTTAACAAAAAAACTTTTTAAAACAGAATTTCTCTATTCAACTTGTGAGTCTATCCCTGCCAATTTTCAAAGAGTTTTTCACTGAACATGTGCTTTTCACTTTCAAAACCAAAAAAGACCTCTTTGTCCATTTTTTAAAACAGCACGGTTTATAATAATAATAATAATCCTTGCATTTGATATAGCGCTTTTTATGTCTTCTAGACGTCTCAAAGTGCTTCACAGAATAGACTGTAAACTGAATTAACCATACACTTGTGGGCAAAATGCAGCAACCAATTGTGCACAGCAGTGTCCCACAACCAGTCGTGGATTGAAAATGACCAATTTATTATTGTTTTGTTTTGGAGGGATCATTATTAGGCGTGTGGAGTAAGGAAACTTGCCCAAGGTTTTGCCCTGCCTGGAATTGAACCCAGGTATCTCACTTGCAAGGCGAGTGCTCTAACCACTGAGCTGCAGGACTCCACATTTGTTCACCCCTGTTATGGCACTGATTTGTTCACAGTAATTCAGAGACTGACCAATCACTTATGAAGTAACAATCTAACCTCTTTTCAGTATTACTGTATCCACTTCTAAAGCAAAGGGTCAGAGTTTAAATGAAAATAGGTTTTCTTATTACGGTAGAATGCTGACTATCCGTTTATTGGCTCATTCATCGAGTCTCAGATGTGTCGAAGTAAAGTGGAGCTGTGATGTGGGCAAGAAGTTTTAGCTGTGTATACGCGCCTAATGCCAACCCGTTTACAATTTGTCTGAGCTGGACTGAATCACCTGCATGACATGGAGAAATTTCATATAGGTAACTTTGAGATTAGAGAGAAACACATACACAAACAATACAGAAAGAATGTGTGAGTGAGTGTGTGTACAATAATTAGAGGGCAAGAGACATAGACACAAACAAATGCAGTTTGAGAGAGGAGAAAAAAGACACACACCATCAACACTGATGCAATGTGTACAGTAAACCGAGTAAACCACACACCCAAACAATAGTTACAGTGTTCTAAAAATAGAAAGACACACACAAATGCAGTTAGAGAGGCAGAGAAAAGAAGACACAAACATCATCATCGAAATATTTGAAAGTGCTTTACAGATGCCCTAGCTGGACAAGAAGTGGGAAACTTGTCAAACAGAGTGTCAGTCTGTTTTGAATACTCCTAAGTATGTGACGTGTTTCAACGTGTGCCAGGTACCCAGCTGGCAAAGAAAAAAGCTACTGGCACTGCTGATTAAATTTTTTATCAGCAGCTAGTGCGTTGAGAAAGGAGTTCTGCTCACCACAATGTGCAGAATGTTATAAAACATTTAAACAGTGAATTTCATAATTTAACTGCAATTTGAGAAGTTAAGAAGCAGTAATTTCTACAATAAATGATTGTCGTGCTCAAGGGTGTTACAATTGGAGTATGTCAGCTAATTCCTTTGAACTCATATTGCATACATTTCAGGTAAGGTGAATCAGGATATCGAAACATCGATGGATCCAGATGGATTAGTTTTGTGACAAATATCCAGTGTTAAATCGGTGCAGCTGGTGGAACAAGTTCAAACTAGTCAAACCAGTTCTGATATATTCTGATTTCAGTGTGGCTCAGACTTCTCTTGGAGTCTCTCTCTAACTTGCACTCAAGCGTGTACGTGCTATCCGTCTGTCCCTCCCTCCCTGCCGACTCTCCGACTCACATGTGCATGTTACGTGTCTATCTTGTTTGGAGTCCTGTTGCTTGGTGGTTAGAGTGCTCGCCTCACAAGCGAGAGGACCAGGGTTCGATTCCCAGGCAGGGCAAAACAGTAGGCAAGTAATAATCCCCCCCCAAAATAATTTGATCACTCAATCCGCGACTGTTTTTGGGACACAGCTGTGTGCAATTGGCTGCCTTGTTTCACCCACAAAGTACACGGTCAATACACTTTACAGTATATTCTCAAAGTCTCAATGGCGTGATATCAAATGCAAGGATTATTTATATTATTATTATTAAAGCAGAGTGATCGCATTTCAATTCATAGAAGTAGAAATCATGAGGAGGATGAAGTGCACTGGCAGCAGAGTTTATTGGTCTCCGATGACTTAGCTCTCGCTACAATGCATTGCAAAATAAGATCCTTTAAGATCAAGGAATGAGTTCTGCCTGATCAGTCTGTTTAATTGGACAGTGAATTACAGTCTCATCAGTTACTTCCACAGTATAGTATTACTGGTAGCTATAAAAATGGTAGAGACCAATAACTGTAGCCATTGGTACTTGAGCTTATAATGTAGGCTGATACTCCAGGGCAACACTGAATAAGCATATATTATCAGAGGTGCCATCCTTTCCAAGCGGCATTAAATTAATGTCCTGTCTGCCCATTCAGGTGGATATTAAAGATCCATTGATGCTATTTGGAAAAAAGAAGGGAGTTTCTCCAGATGTCTTGGGCACCAAACATCCAGATAAATTGGCCATTAACATAAAAGGCTTTTTGTTTAACCTTACATATAAAATGGCTAATTCATCACTTTCAGAAATAGTTACTACACTTATTAATTACCATAATATTCTTTGAGACATTTCAACATTATAAGAAACTAGCAATCTGTCTGGTGGTCCCATATCTTCACATGTGAAAAGTCAACTCCAGCACTATGTGGAAGCCTTTAATGGCATAAAATGATTACTGGGTGTTTTCCGCACTTTGTTTTGGAAATATATTTGGCTTCTACCTTTTCAAAACACTGCAAATCAACTTCAGAATTGTGTAGAATTTGAATAACCTTCCCTTTCTATCAGCTTCTGGGTATAGTGCAAAAACAACCAGTACAATCCCTATTGACCTTTACAGATCCTTTTGTGCCTCTGTCTACTGTACCATAGTGCATGAGCAATAAAGAAGGTGTTGCTTGTTTCTGATTAATGCAATGTACAGATTAATTAGATAACCAATCTACTCTGTCAACCACATCCAGCTAATACAGTGCAAAATATTGCAGTCGTTTGTTTGGGTGTAACCGGTCTTGAACCTCATGAGGTTTCAGGGCACTCCCTATTTTTCTGCAAGCTCTGGGTATGTATTTTGCCATAGAATGGTAGCACTCTTGCCTCTTGCAAATTGGCTGCTGTGTTCGCCCACAAATACAGTGTCACTCCACTTCACAGTAAATCCTGTGAATTGCGTTGGGACGTCCTCCTGAACTGAAAGGCAAATGCAAAGATTATTATCATTATCAATAATTATTATTCTGCAGTGTCTTGGAGAAAATGTTCTATCTTGTACAGTGTTTTACGGGATGGTCCTGAGGAGGATCTTTCTAAAGTTGTGCTGTTCTCCTGTCCCTCAATAGGAAATACTCTGGAATCACTTCTAGACATCTTCTATTCAAGGGCATTGCTGCCCTCCTTTGTATCAAGGTCATTGGCCTCTTCTGGCAGGTAAAGCATTGAGCATAAAACAATTTGATGACATTTCTGACGTTTTATAATGGGTTCTTTGTGAAAATTATAAAGTTGTGAAACATCACTAATTTCTTACTCATCAATACTTAACACTATTTGCCACACCTTCCTGAGATTGCTCTCTTCATGCTGATTCAGTGCCTCGGTGTCATCTTGGTATTTTCAGGTAGGGGAAAAGTGAGCTGTGGCAATCTGAAGGTAGATTTTGGGTCAACAGAAGAATAAAACAAGTTAATTTGATTATCATGTTGCACTTAAATGTTGTATTTGACACCAGCACAGCATTTTGTCTGAAGTTTCCCTTGGACTATACCACTGTGCTATTGGTGGCAGGGTGGTGGTTAAGGAATCTCTTCTGATACGGCCAAAAATTGGCCTGAATTTACAACTGTTTACCAAAATTCTGTACAATCTTAAGTATTACGATAATGGTCTTAAGCCCTAAGAACATGAGTTATTTCAGGCCCAGGTGTGGAGTCAAGCGGTTTACCCTCAGTGGTCTTTACTTTCCACGAACAACCATTTTCTATGTCATTTTGGTTATACATAACTCGCTGTACTTATAACCAGTTTCATTTAATCAGCCTTCTCTCTTTCGTCTGGCATTTTTATTTGTCCTTGAAAGGCTTGATTTTCGCTTTTTAGGCATCTCTATCCCTTATGATTAAGAAAATGTGTTGTTAATCTGTTAGCATCCCTTGTTCACATATTTACACGCATATCCTTTTGGGAGAACTCCTGTGGGAGGATTCCTGTTGGGAGGACTCCTTGTTTGGAAGACTCGTGTTGGGAGACCTCCTTGTTGGGAGTCCATTCATGTGTGACGAGCTTGTTTAGGTCACGATAGGAAAACAAAATGCCCATGTCACTCCCCCATGCAAGACCTTTCCGATGAGGTATAAATCATGTCTCTAGGTCAATCAGTTAGACAGACACACAAACAGACATTTCGTCTTCATTAGTATAGATGTATCTCTCTCTAGAAGGATGTGTGACCTTTGTCGCCTCTTTGTTGGGGAATACCATATGTACTTTTTTGGGGACTTAATTAAAGCCTGTTTTAATATAGCTCTTCAATGATAGGAGATCCCAGAAAAAAATATGCCCATGACGCACCCCAATGCAAGACCTTTCCAATGAGGTATCAATCATGTCTACGCCGATTGGTTACTGCATTCTTGGCAGACAGACACACAGACAGTATATTAGTATAGAAGAAGATATATACCAAAAGTTCCTCAGCAACAAAAGCAAATTGCGCTTATTTAGCACTTTTCCATAAAAAGGAAATGACTTTACAGAATTACATTGTTACTATGGAAACAATCACAGCAACTGATTTACACCAGTAACGTCTTACAAAGATTCCATGGCTGACTTTGGCTGTTTGTGGGATGTTGCTGTGTGCAAATTGGTTGCCGTGTTCACCCACAAAACACAGCAGTCAAGGCGCTTTCCAGTAAATCCTGTGAAAAAGCACTTTGAAGTGACCTCTGGAGGTGAAAGGCGCTGTATCAAATGTAAGGACTATTGTTAATGTAAACCACGTGAAGTGCTTTGAGAGGTTCAGATGCACAGAGGATTATTGCCATTACAGCAGTAGATGGAGTCCTGTAGCTCAGTGGTTAGAGCACTCGCTTTGCAAGTGAGAGACCTGAGTTCAATTCCAGGCAGGTCAGGGCGAAACCTTGGGCAAGTTTCCTTACTCCACACAGAGCCTAATAATAATCCCTCCAAAATCAATAATAAATTGGTCATTTTTAATCTACGACTGTTTGTGGGACATTGCTGTGCGCAATTGGCTGCCGCGTTCGCCCACAAATATACAGTCAATTCACTTTACAGTGTGTTCTGTGAAGCGCTTTGGGACGTCCTCCCGACGTGAAAAGCGCTATATCAAATGCAAGGATTATTATTATTATTATTATTATTATTATAGATGGACCAAATGGGATCTTCAGTCCCCAACCCCCCAGGTCTGTCTGATGTGAATGGTTGTAGTTCGGGAGGCTGCCGAGGGGTGGCGCTGGCGGGCGGGGGGCGGGGCTGGGGCGGGGGGGGCGGGGCTGGGGCGGGGGGGCGGGGCTGGGGGGCAGTGTGTGGGGGTTGTTTGTGAAGTGCGTCAGTCGGCTCTGGGATCGGTTGCTGGTTGGGAGCTGCTGCTGGTGCTTTTGGTTCTGCCCTGGACTCGGACTCGGACTGAAGATGGTCAAAGTGTCCTTCAACTCAGCCCTGGGGCAGAAAGAGCCGAAGAAAGACGAGAACAGCGAAGCGCTCATCATCACCGACAAGGTGTGTGTGTGTGGGGAGAGAGCCGGGGAGCGGCTCAGAGGGCCGCGCTGCTGCTGCTGCTGCTGCTGCTCGTCTTCCTCCCCCACTCCCCGGGGGCTGAACCCCGGGTTGTTGCCCGTGTTGCTGGAGCCGGAGGTGGGGCTCTGGAGCTGGTGCACAGGCCTCGCGTGTCCGCGGCCCCGGGCCTGGGCCTCCTCCGCCCCCCCGAGCCGGGGTCTGCCTTCACACGACCAGCCCGTGGCCCGGCCTCAGTCGGTGCAGCTGTAAAATGGCTGACGTGGTCCCAGCAACTGTCTGATCGTCGCTCGTTTCTTTTATTTAATAATAATAATAATAATAAACCTTGCGTTTGATACAGAGCCTCAGCACGTCGTTGAGGCGTCTCAAAGCGCTTCACAGAATACACTGTAAAGTGAATTGACGGTATATTTCGTGGTCGAAATATTTCTTTTATTTATGTGGTTATTATTTTTTTTAAAAAAAACTCTTCAAGTCATCAAGTTCTCCATTATATTTTCGGAGCCAGGGCGGAGGCAGTAGGGTATTTCCTACCAAAACATTTCGTAACTTGTTCAGCGCAAAGGCTGCCAAGAAGATCGTTCAGTTTCAGTTTTGTATGCGGTTCGTTAAGAGGAAATGTTTGTTTTGTTCTGCTAACGATTCTTGGAAAGGGCGAGTGATTGCTCGGGGTGGGGGGGGGGGAGGGTCTGTTACTTTGAATGGGGTCACTACAAGTCCAAACTTTAAAGTGTTTTCACCTCTGAGCCAGAAGACATCGGGACTTTGAGCAGTCTATCCTGACACTCCAATGCAGAGCTGGGGGTGTGCTGCAATGTTGGAGGTGCCGCCCTTCGGATGAGATGTGAAACCAAGGTCCCGGGTCTGCCTGTTCAGGTGGATGTTAAAAATCCCATGGGCACTACTGGCGAAGGGAGTTTCTACTCGCATGCTGGCCAACAATCCCCAGATTGTTGTTTACTTCATGGCAGTGGTGCATATTTATATAGCTGTATAATTACCATAACACACATGACGTAATTGTGTAAAAACACGCAAGAGACCTTTGACTGTTTTTGTCGCCAGTTGACTAATAGTGAAGTAACTGAGCCCAAAGAGGAAATCAGGCACCACAAAAGAACCTAGGGAAATTTGGACTCTTTACTACATGTTGCATGTGGAGGCAGGCACAAACTTGTAATGAAAAAGAGGCATTTGGTTACCTGAAGTGACATGAGGAGTTCTGTGAGAACCTGTGTACAGACCGTTTTTAATGGTGCTCATCACAAGTGCGTGTCAGCTGGATTTAGCTTGTATTTAATGTACAGTTGTATTATCTAAAACTGCAAAATGTAACAATCGGGGTATTATTAAAATATCAAAATGGGGCATTGGCAGCCAAAGCTTTGGAACTTCCTCAATCCCTCCGCTTACCACCTCCTTCCCCCTTTTCAGATCATGCACTTTTTTATTATTCCACTTTGAAGATTTTTTATTTCTCTTTCAGTATGACTTCTAAATAAAATAATAATAATCCTTGCATTTGATATAGCGCTTTTCACGTCGGGAGGACGTCCCAAAGCGCTTCACAGAACACACTGTAAAGTGAATTGACTGTATATTTGTGGGCGAACGCGGCAGCCAATTGCGCACAGCAATGTCCCACAAACAGTCGTAATTGAAAATGACCAATTTATTATTGTTTTTGGGTTTTGGAGGGATTATTATTAGGCTCTGTGTGGAGTAAGGAAACTTGCCCAAGGTTTCGCCCTGCCTGGAATTGAACTCAGGTCTCTCACTTGCAAAGCGAGTGCTCTAACCACTGAGCTACAGGACTCCACATGCCTTCTCATGCCTATATTGTCAATAAGACTGATTCTGCTTAAATTCTGCATATATGGTTATTCGCAAATGAGCCTCAATGTTCATACCACATCCAGTAATGGAGAAGTAGTATATTCTGAAATGGTGTGAACATTTTACAGTGAGGTGTAATATTGGATTTAAAATGACAATCGTCTTGGTTAGTCATGTAAAGCTATTTTAGGTACCTTATAATAGCCTTAGAAAAGCCATTGAATAGGTTGATTGATCTTACACTTATCCAATCTTTTCAGAGTTAGTGAGGTTAGCTATAGTGTCTGAAATTTCTTCCCTCAGTTTATCAGTTTTGTAAAGTGCAGAACCATGTCTCCTCAGTTTCTGTTCTTCATTTCTGTTGCTGGTTGTTAACATAACAAGAGTTAAAATGTGCTGTGGTAGATACCGATCTTTCAAGCTCAAACTGGTTGTGTTTGAGTTGCTGATCTCGATGATAGCTGGTAAACATGCAAAGAGGAATACCCGAGCAAACAAACAATTCTTGAGCCATTGCCTTGAATTTATTTGTGTTCACCAGAATAACCCAGGAAAGATGGTATTTGTTATGGAGATTTTTGTTTTTTAAAAGAATTAATCTGTAGTATTTTACGGTATGTCTGGGAAAAAGAATGTCTTACTCAACATCTTACTGATATGCAAATCAACCAGAAAGTCTATACTGTTGAAATCTTGTACTTTAAACGTTCTAAAGTGGTAGATGAATTACTATGGATAAGTATAAGGAATTAAATTACATAAGCTACCTTATGTAATAGGGACCACTCCCCCCCCCCCCACCACCACCACCAAGCTCGGAGTCAGGCTCCACCACTGTTAAGAGCTCTGAGAGGCTGCCCTTCGTGGAAGGCGCTATATAAGTGCAAGCTGTTGTTATAAGCAAACCGTTTTCACCCAACAAATGGGTATGCCAGCACAAAGTTCTTGGTGAAAACTTTTGAGTCCTGAAAATTCGTATTTCCCAAATTAACTGAAGGGAGATGCTGAATTAGCTTAGCTATTCTATTGTTATTAGAATTGGGTTAGCTATAGTGTCTGAAATTTCTTCCCTCAGTCTATCAGTATTGTAAAGTGCAGAACCATGTCTCCTCAGTTTCTGTTCTTCATTTCTGTTGCTGGTTGTTAACAAAACAAGAGTTAAAATGTGCTGTGGTAGATACCGATCTTTCAAGCTCAAACTGGTTGTGTTTGAGTTGCTGATCTCGATATTAGCTGGTAAACATGCAAAGAGGAATACCCGAGCAAACAAACAATTCTTGAGCCATTGCCTTGAATTTATTTGTGTTCACCAGAATAACCCAGGAAAGATGGTATTTGTTGTGGAGATTTTTGTTTTTTAAAATAATTAATCTGTGTAGCATTTTATTATAAAATTTGTTATAAAATGGGCAATGCAACAACACTGCAGAAAGTTAGACTCGAGTAAATTGAAATTTGATTTATCCCTTTAAACTCAAAGCTTGAATTCTCAGAGTCCTTCGTGCATAATACTCTTCTGAATCATGGAGGTTTCACTCAGACTGATTTTTGAAGATGGAGTGCCCAGATTGCAGTTTATGCAGAATGTCACACGACCAGCAAAAAAATGTGTTTTGACTTAAAGTGACTTTCAAAATGATCTTGATTTAATGTAGTGGCTGGTTTACTCATAATGGCATCACATTGACTGGAAATGTCCAGTAGGTGATGAAAAATTGCACCAACTTGCACAAAGTTTGCTACTATATTTTGGATAATTGGTTTTAAGATCAAATTTACAATGGCTCAGCAACTGAGTTATACAGACTGAGAAGCTTCTGAGTTCAATCCCTTGTCTCTTAGGTTTTCTGATCTCTGTGTTGGACACGGCAATCAACTTGGGTGTCTTTATAGAATTAGAGTAAATAAAATTGGTCAGCATTCCTGATGTTTTTCCAGGGACCCTTGCTGATAGTGCACATATATGCACATTGGGTAATGATTAATTTGGCCTTGACAGTGATGCATTTTCACACACGCTGCTGCAATATTTTTCTTACATTCACTGTCAAGCTCATGTCTTCTTCAACAATTTATCCACTATCTTGAGAAGAAAATTTAGAAATTTTGCTTGATGCAGTGGGTAATCTGGCATTAAAAGGCTTAGTAACATGTCTAAAGTTTAGGAAGAAATGGTGAAGTTGTATGGTTGATTTGCATTATAACATGGTTGAAAACTACTGTGGGTTTATTAGCTTATATCTAAATGAGTGAGTCACCTCAGACTTACATTGTAGTATTAATTGAAGAAATGCGTTGGATTGAAAAACTGTTATAGCATTTGACATTGAATCACAATTGGGTCATATGAAAATTTGGAGGAAAGTGCATGAAAACTGGATAGATAATGGCCGAGGCTGACTGTCCACGAATGCCACATTTCAGGCAACTCTGTTTTAAGTATCAGTATTGTTAGCCAATACAGTTCTACCTCACTGACATTGAAATTGAGAACTACAATAAACATCACAATGCTAACAAAAAGTCATTACACTGATCATTTGTCGTAAAGGGCTTTAAGCAGTTTCAATTTAGAAGGTGCTATAATGCAAGTTCATTTTAACCAGTTGAAGTCATGTTCTGGAACTCTTTATTAGAGGACATATGTTCACAATTCATAGGAAACTGAAACAAGATGCAGCAAATATGCTCTCATTGATTTAGAAAGATTGAATACATATTTGTAGATGAACACAGCAGTCAATTTGCACACAGACACAGTTCCACAAAGAGCCGTGAAGTGATTTTTTTTTTATCTTGGGGTTGTTGGCCAGGACACTGGGAAAAATGCTCTTGACATCTCTTGATTGCAATATTAAGTTTTAATAACAATAATTCTTGCATTTGACAAAGTGCCTTATCAGGTCTTTGAGACGTCTCAAAGCACTTCACAGAATGTACTGTAAAGTGAATTGACTGTATATTTTGTGGGTGAAATGTGGCAGCCAATTGCGCACAGCATTGTCCAGTTGTGGATTACGTGACCAAATTTTATTTTTTGTTGAAGGGATTATTCCCCCCAGAAAAGCGATCCACCAATCGACTTACGACCGGGCTACTATTTACCACTAGGTAAACAGAGGCGTGTGGAGTAAGGAAACAAGCCTAAAGTTTTGCCCTTTTCAGTGCCTTGGGACGTCTGTGGGAATGTAAAGGGACTAAATCACGTGAAGTACAGAGTGTCTCGACAATGATAAGACTAGAGTTGTTTTTAAGCAACAGTCTAGATAATTAGAGCAGAACCAGTGTCCTTGTACTGCCTGCAAATGTATAATCAAGCTTGTGATGATTGAATGTTGCTTGTCAATCAACAGCAAGAATTGTTTGAGACACGAGTTAAGCATGAGGTGATCGCAAATAATCATGTATATAAACTAATGGGACTGCCCCATTGGTAGAGGGAGAGTACTGACTCTGCTGAGAGACGTGCTATTGTATTGCCTCTCGCTTTCCCTCTCCTTGCTGCAAGTATTAAATAAATAATATTTCTGAACTAACTCTGTTTGTGAGTGTTCGTTTAATCCTAGTTATAGCGACTACATCCTGGGTTCGACACGTCCTCCTGACGTGAACGGCGCTATACAAATGTAATTTTGTTGTTGTTGCCCAGGAATCAAAACCAGGTCCTTGCTTACAAGGCGAGTGCTCTAACCAATAGCCTAAAGCACTCCACATGCAATGCTGTGGTTTCTAATGAAGTTCTGTGATTTTTAAAAAAAAAATGTGTGCAGGATCCAGAGGATGTAATTGTTCCACTTAGACGTCAATCAAGAGTCTGGTGCTGGTGCATGTGCCTTGGACTTGCACTCATGCTGTCTGGTGTGGTGGTTGGTGGTGCATATCTCTACAGATACTTCATTCTGCAGGTAAGCAAATGCAAAATTGGTTTTAAATTGATTCAGTGCCAGGACTTTTAAACTGAAAAATATGAAACATAACGGATTATGTTGAAGAAAATGCTTTACATCAATAAAGTTGAATTTCTGCTATTTCCTTCCAGTCCAACACTTAAATTCATCCGTCTTCTTCAATATGCTGTATATTTTAACCTGTAGACAAGCAGTTTTAATGAAATTCCATTGTGGAAAGCAATCCACTGTTGCTAATTTACTAGAGTTAAAGTAATAAAACTATTGGAGTTTTGTTAATGTTTGTAAAGCTTATTGTCCCCTTTAATCCGTGCATGTATATTAAGCATCACATATCTATTAATGTCACATATAATAGAAGTGCCTCCCAGGGTTGCAACCCATCTGATTTTCATGGACCAATTTTGTGATTAAACCATTCAAGCTGGTAGCAGGAATTTTTTTAAAAAAAAGATTTTAAATCAAAATTGAACAACAAGAAATCGAAGAGTTTGTTGGGATTTTGTCCTTTTGGGAAGGCATTGGAAATCAGTCAATTGATATTTCTTGTGAATCCACTGAACAAGGGGGTGTAAGTGGAATAAATATTAATTCTAACCTTTAGTCTGATACTACTACACACGGCTGGTGTGAATTAGTATGGTCAGCAAACCTACACTAAAATAAGTGAAGTGAGCAAGTCATGGATGATAACCGCTAACAAAAGGCCTAGTATCAAAAGGTTTTAAATAAGGAAATGTGGAGATGGTAAAGAAGGAAGAGGTATAGTGAGTGGGGGGAGGGGGGTGAAAAAGAGAAGTAAAGAGATGCCAGAAAATAAATATGGAAAAATCCACAGAATCCAAGTAGTTTAGCCCTTGGAACTCCATCCCACAATCCTTTCACCTTGCTCCCTCCCTTTGCCTCTTTCAAGGCAAGCCTCAAGACCCTTCTTTTCGACCATGCCTTCAGCTGCCCTCCTACCTCTCTGCTCTTCCTTATGCCAACCCTGCCCCTCAAGCTCGGGTCCTGATCCCTGACTGTTCAGCGCCTTGGGACATCCTCCTGATGTGAGAGGCGCTTTACACATGTAATTTTGTTGTAGCAGCAGTTCTAACTTGTTACATTCACAGGTGCCCTGAAACATCAGCTGCATTGTCAGTTCATCAATACTTCTAGCAGAGCCATCTAGTGCTTGCTCTCTGCTGAACTGTGTGGAGTGTTTGTGTTGCAATGCTTTGCATACTTACAGCTTTGATCTACCATGAGTTTGTCTGTCTTGAAGCTCAATGTTTCGGTGGGGTGAATCTGCTTTTACCATCACGTTTTATTTAATTAAGAACGCCATCCTGCATGTAGCCGGGAAAAGGCTTGAAGCAGCTGGTAGATTGATTTTTCAATGTGCCAGATGGAATATGCTGTGCCTGTTTCTTTTTACCAGTAAATATTTGTGATTTAATCAAATTACTCGTGGAGTGTTTCTAAGTTACGTTGAGAGTTTGCCGTAAACCAAGATTTCTTCACTTGCTAGCACGGATTTCCACTCTCCCTTTCCAGAGAATTTGAAAGCTATGTAAATTGTGGTCAACAAGTGTGGACATGTCTTGCGTGCCCCAGAGGATTGTGCTGACTACAGCCTGTAAAGGTAATGTGGGGGAGGAATAGAAAGGAGGAGGAATTGAAACTTTGACAAGTTTTGAATGCTTACTTTTTAATTGAGCACTTCTCTACTTTTAGATTATTTAACAAAAATCTTTTAATACACCTCTGGAAATGTTACTCAGCTTAATTTTCCTATATTAACATTCCCAGGAAGGTGACGTTTTCTTCTGTGGCCTCACATACCGTGATACTGAAGACTACAGGTTCCTTGTTCCGGAGATTGATAGTGTTACTCAAGCCCCTCAGTACCACACAATAAATGCGAACTTTCAGATTCTGCGAAATGAAGAAGTTGAGCTCATCAATGTTCCTGTACCAGAGTTTGGTGACAGTGATCCAGCTAATATTGTTCATGATTTCCAAAGGGTATGTAGTCACAGATTTACTCTGGCATCTTATTTTATTCTGCTTTCAGTTGTGCTTTATCTTGGTAGTGATTCATTTTGTCGTAACAAACCTTTTGAGTTCCTACCTAGAAATGAGCCAGTATTACATTATTGAAAATCCTTAAGAGGCCATCTGCAACTTACTATATAAATTTGTAACCACAAAAGCTAGTCCATTTGGACTGCCTCCTCCTCCCATGCTTGATGTTCAACTTTGTGAAGCGCTCAGAGGACACGCGATGTGAAGGGTGCTAACTAAATATAATATAGTGCAGGTTGTAGTTACATTTTTATTTGCACAGGATGAAATCCAAATAAACAAAGGATCTCAGGTATCCTACCACTTGTTTAGCTTAATTTCATTGCATCAATTATTCAAATTTCTGAGCAGGAGGTTTTGTTTTGACATTGCAAATGTGTAGGCAAAATACCAAAAACTACTAAAATGTTTTTTTCTGTTCCAGCTTCTGACAGCTTACCTTGATCTCAGTTTGAACAAATGTTATGTCATTCCATTAAATACATCTATTGTCATGCCACCACGCAACCTATTTGAAATACTGATCAACATCAAGGTATGTATTGAGACATCTGCTCGATATTTAGATCTAACCTATGAATAGAAATGGTCTTTAAAGTGAAAAATCTCTGTGTAATTCTATGGAAAAATTGTGATGTGATGTTCCTATGAATCAAAACTATTGAAATTCTTGATTACCTGAAGATTCATGGGTTGACATGGACCTGTCGAGATTATGCCAGTGACAACCTAGCTCCTCTTCTGATTTCATGCTAGTGAGGGTAAAAATTAGCCTGGAGTTGAAATTATTAACCATGAACTACATGTGTGGGCATTGATTAAAAGGTAGGATAAATTGATTGCTGTGCATTACTGTGGACATGTGGTGAGATAATGAGGACTGCCACTATGGAACCATCCTCTAACCAGAGTTGCTTGCGGAGGAACAGAAAGAGCACTGCATTCCCAATATGTGACTGTCCTGATACTGGTGCATTGAGAGGTATAAGTAAAAGCATCCCTTCTAGCTGATGGCTTGTTTTTATAGCTGGTGCCTGTATTTTTGCTGCTGAAAGTAATGACACTTTCAACAGTAGTTGAATTTGGAATGGAGCGAGAGCTTGTTGTGCTTCCAATCACCTGCTGGGAGGGGGGAAATTGAGGAACGCTAACTATGGTTGTAGTAATTGGTGATAATAATTCATCTTAGTAAATTAAATGGTACATTAATTCTTGGTTAGTCCATTGGACCATATTAGTTCACTCTGCCTTGATTCCTCATGTGTTCAACCTCCAGGTACAATGATGATTTTCAACTAATACGGAAACGGTAAAGGGGAGAGAACTAAAGAGAGCAGAAGAAAAACTGGTTATTCAGTAAAGATAACTCAAAGGGGTTAGAATAGATAATTGGGTGAGATATTGAGGGCTGCTACTTGTGGAACCAAATTCCTACCTGCATTTACCAATGCAGATATAGGTGTCTTTATGCCCGGAAGGAAAAAGAACAGAAATTGAAAGAATATGCACCTAGAATTGCAGTTTACCAAGTAAACTGGGTTAAATTTGTCTTATAGCTACTAATTCAAAACTAGAGCTCAATTCCTGATGTTTGGAACATTATTGTTTCTAATGTGGATAATGCAGATAAAGGCTATGCAATAAATGTAGCTAGTGTTTCATTTGAGTTGCAGTAGTTCTGATAAGTGGATTTTGGTAATCCAGAACACTGTTATTAAACTTATCTTCACGAGTGTTGAGTAACCAAATCGATACCCTGTAATCCTACACGAGGTTGTGTGTACATCAGACACTAAGGACATTTGAAAAATCATGCATAATGTGTATCAGCAGTTGTCATCTTAAAGAGCACTATTTACATTAGGCTGCATATAATTTAAGAACCAGCAAAATAGTGTAGAGCACAAAATGAAAACAACAAACTCCTTTATGGGATAGCTTGTTTTTTGGGGGCAATATCGAGTTATTTTTTATAAACTTGGCTCCAGTAAGCTTTTCTGTTTGCACCAAAGTTTATAATGAAATCTATTCTCTCACTGTAAGCTTAATAAATTTTACATAACAATAAGTGATAGGAACATAGGAAACATAGGAACAGGAGGAGGCCGTTCAGCCCTTTGAGCCTGTTCTGGCATTTAATGAGATCATGGCTGATCTGTATCTCAACTAATCCTATGCCCTCTTGTTTTGGATTCCCCCACCAGAGGAAATCAAATCCCTTTATCATCTTAAATACCTCAATCAAATCACCCCTCAACTTTCTGAACTCAAGGGAATACAATCCAAGTTTACTCGGCCTTTCCTCGTAACTTAACTGTTTTAGGCCTGGTAACATTCTGGTGAACCTGCACTGCATCCCTCCAGGGCCAATATATCTTCCCTGAGGTGCAGTGCCCCAAACTGAATGCAGTACTCCAGATGGGGTTTGACTAACTCTATACAGCTGAAGCATCATTTCTTCCCCTTTGTATTCCAGGCCTCTTGAGATAAAGGCCAATATTCCAGTTGCCTTTATGATTACGTTTTGCACCCGGGAACTAGTTTTCAGTGATTTGTGGATACGAACACCCAAATCTCTTTGCTTCTCCACAGTTCTTAATTTCTCCCCATTAAGAAAATATTCTGCCTCATCTTTTTTCAGTCTATAGTGGAAGACCTCACCTACATTGAACTCCGTCTGCCACAGCTTTGCCCACACACATAAAGTGTATAAGTCTCTTTGTAACTTCCTACTTCCATCTACACAACTTACTGAGCCTCCTAGCTTAGTATCGTCTGCAAACTTGGATATAAAACTTTCTAGGCCTTCATCTAAGTCATTTCTATGTATGTCAAATATCTGGGGTCCCAGTACAGAGCCCTGAGGGGCACCACTTGTCACGTCCCACCAATCAGAGAATGTTCCCTTTATCCCTACCCTCTTTACCTGCCTCCCAACCAGTTACCAAGCCACATCACAAAGTTACCTCTGACTCCATGCGCTTCCATTTTCGCTAATAATCTTTTGTGTGGACCCTTATCAAATGCCTTCTGAAAGTCCATATAAACAACATCCATAGACACTCTCTTCCCACCATTTTAGTGACCTCAAAAAATTCAACTAGATTAGTCAGACACGACCCATGCTTCACAAACCCATGTGACTCTGACTAGCTTATACCTGTCCCAAGTGTTCAGTCACTCTGTCCCTGATGATGGATTCCAGCATTTTCCCTACAATTGATGTTAAGCTGACAGGTCTGTCGTTTCCTGATTTCTCCCTTCTTAAATGCACCTTCACAATTTTCCAATTTAAAGGCACAGTTCCTGAATCTAGTGAGCTTTGGAAAATTATGACAAATGCATCTGCAATTTCCTCTCCTGTTTCCTTCAACACCCTGGGGTGGAAACTATCAGGTCCTGGAGATTTGTCTATCTTGAGTTATTTCTTCCATTACCTTTTTAATTTTATTAAGCATTTCTCTTTGACTTATTTTTAGGTTCCCCTGAACTGCTGTTATTTTGTCCTCATTCTCTACTGTAAAAACAGTAGCTAAGTATTTATTTAACAAGTCAGCCATTTCTTTATTTTCCATTATAGTCTCATCTACATCTGTCTTTAATGGACCCACGTTCCCCTTGACCATTCTCTAATATATTTATAAAAGCTTTTACTATTGGTTTTAATATCACTTGCAAGTTTTTTTTTCATACTCCCTTTTTGCTCCTCTTATTACTTTCTTTGTATCTCTTTTGTAGTTCTCCCAGTCCTCTGCATTCCCACGTTTTCTTGCATTTGAGTAAGCCTTTTCTTTTAGCTTGATACAGTCTGTAACCTCTTTTGTCCACCATGGTTTCTTAACTACACGATTTAAGCTTTTGCATTTAACGGTTATGTACTTGTTCTATATTGTATCAAATACTTTTTTTGAACGCTTCAGATTGTTCATCTGCAGGTTTACCCACTAACAGTTCAGCCCAGTTAGTGTAGTCAATATATTTCTCATGCCATCGAAGTTTGCCGTACTTAGGTTTAAAACCTTGGTTTGGGACTTTCCCTCTCAAATCCAATGTCAAATTCAATCATATTATGATCACTATTTGCAAAATGTTCCTATACTGTCAGATTGTTAACTAGTTCTGGCTCATTACTCATCACCAAATCCAGTATGGCGTGTTCTAAAACATATTGTTCCAAAAAACTATCCTAAATATATTCTAGAAATGTGTTGCCTTTACTATCTGAGGTGTCCTGCTTCTCCCAGTATATGTGAAAATTAAAATCTCCCATTATAACCACATTGCTTTTGCTGCATGCTTCCCTGATCTCCGTATTCATACATTTCCCCACTACATCACAACTCTCTGGAGGTCTGTAGACTACTACTTACCTCCTTTGCTGTTCCTTAATTCTTCCCACAGTGTTTCCACTACCTGATTGCCCTTACTGAAATCTTTCCTTTCCACTGCTAATAGTGTATTTTATCAATATTGCTTCTCCACTTTTCCCAATATTCCTGTCTTTTCTGAAGATCTTATAGCTTGGAATATTTAGCTCCCAGTCCTGTCCAGCTTGTAACCAGGTCTCTGTGATGGATATTATATCAAACCCTCTAAGCTGAATTTGTGCTTCTAACTCACTTGTTTTATTTCTTATGCTACGTGCATTTGTATACATAGCTCTTATTTGGGTACCTGTCCCCAACATGCCTATACGTCCCGACGATGCTCTTCTCACACATTTTGACTTGTTACACCTTTTGTGATAACTTTCTATTACCTTTTCCTGTAGTATTTATGTTATCTTTATCACTATTTGTATTCTGACTGTTGCTCTCATCCTCTCCTTGCCTTATGACCCCCCCACTTACTGATCATATAGCTGCTCAGATCACCGAATCCTATTAGATGCCTGACCACTCATCACTTTACAAAACTAATGAAATTACTGGCAGACTGTCCTGAGTTAATGTACAAAAGGCTATGGAATATGTTGCCTCAGATTTTCCGTTTCTGTATTGGATCAGATGTAGCGAGTTTTGGACCATATTGCAGGACGAATTGTATATACAAGAGAGACGATTGTCTGTACTATTTGGTTTGGACACCCTTGAGGATAAGCAAATAGTGCGGATAGTTTGACTACACAATATACAAACTGGTTACAGTGCTGACTAAAATGTTATTTCATCAGGGCGTGTACTGTCACTATAGTATCATACTCTGCCACTTTTTTCCTTGCTCTCTGCCTTTTTCTTCATCACTCTCTTTTTCACTGCCACTTTTTCCACTTTTCCACTCTCTTCTCTCTCTCTGCGCCACTCTGCCCCCCCCGCGCCCCCATCTTTCTCAAGGGATATGGAAAAAATGTTGGGAAATGGGATTAAAAGATCTGCTGCACTATTTTCCACAATGGTACAAGTAAGTCTCAAAATTTTTACTTTAAACAGACTGGCACCTACTTGCCCCAGTCTTACTTGGTCCGTGAAGAGCTGGTGGTTACTGACCGTATTAAGGATGTGAATCAACTCGGTTTCTTCATCTCTCGTCTTTGCCGTAGTAAGGAGACCTTCAGGCTTCAGCGCAGAAACATCAGTAATGGTATGAGTTAACTTAAGTATTTGTTTACCTAATGTCTTTTTGATTACCAGTGTTCGCTTTATAAATTTTGCGACTATCCAGATGGTGGATGATAATCCTTCCACTTAAAGGAACTGCAACAAATACTACCCAGTTAGGTATAATGTTGGACGTCAAATAAAAGGTTAGCTTTTTAATAGGGTTCTCCATTTTTCGAGAGTAGCATTCTTTCCACAACACCAGTTGACCTAGGTCCTTAGATTGATGTGAAGGAAACGTGATTAGAGCTTACTTATGTTTTGGTGTCAATGTGGAGGTGGTATTGTGTGTACTCTTCCCTGTTCCCACTCAGTATAAAAGGCATGAACATGTTGCAGAATGCAGGTTAAGGTCTTGCTGTGGTACAAACTAATGGAAGTTTGTCGATTCAAGTTCCAGAAATGAGTAAAGTACCATACTTTTGATGATGCGAGGTATCTATCTTAAAAACTAGAGAACACTTTGTGCAATTTTAGTTAACATTGGTTCAAATCACTTCTAAACTTTCTCCGCCACAGTCACATACCTCAGGTCGCCAAGACTCTCATACATGCATTCATAACATCCAGGTTTGACTATGCAAACTCCCTGTTTGTCAGCCTCCCCGAACTCTTCCCTTCATAGACTGCAGCCTTGTCCTTTCCCACACCAGGCTCCATGATCCTATCAAAGCAATCCTCGCCTGACTCTCTGGACTTCCCATTACACAGAGGATACAATTCACAATTGGTCCTCAGCTTCAAAGCCCTCCATGGCCTTGCTGACACTCGGGTACATTTGTACCTTTTTATACCATGTGTTAGTGAGAAGAGCATGGGTGCTGGCATCAAAATGTGAGGTCTGGTTACCTGCCTTCTTAGATGGTTCAGGAATATGGGTTGAGTAGTGTGTGGAGAATACGTAATAGTGTGATTATTTTCCGCACCAGCTATTTCTAGTGGATTTTTGAGTGTGCCATTAAGCAACTGTTTTCTGCTGCAGACCCACACACCCTTAAATTCGATTGCATCAACAACAAATTACACTTGTATAGCGCCCTTCACATTGGGGAGCTGAACAATCGGGTCTTGGACCCAAGCTGGGAGTTGGAGTCAAGGGGGGTAAGTAGGTGGGTGGCTGAAGGCACGGTCGAACAGGAAGGTCTTTAGACGGGACTTAAGGGCGGTAAGTGAAGCAGAGAGACTGCGGGATAGAGTTCCAGATTGCGGGGGCAGAGGTGCTGAATGCCCGACTGCCAATGATGGGACGGGAAATCCGTGGGACCTCAAGCAGGCCGGTGTCCACTGGGCGAAGGGAGCAGACGACTGATATGGGGTTAAGAGGTCACAGAGGTAGGAGGGAGCAAGACTATGGTGGGCCTTGAAAGTGAAAACGAGGATTTCGAACTCGATTCTCTGAGGCATGGGGAGCCAGTGAAGTTGGGCAAGGATGGGGGTGATCGGTTTGCAGAGCCTGTTGCGGGAGAAGGCACGAGCTGCAGATTCCTGATTTTTTTTTTATTTATTTGAGATGAATAAAGCTTTGTTTGCCGAAAGTGAAGGAAGATTTATCTAATTATTTTTGGCTAGGATTCAAAAGAACAAGCTCCATTATGTTGTATCATATCACCAGGGGGCCTAACAAACTGACTAAAATAATTATCTTGCCAGTTAGAATATTCCATTCACTGCTGTCAAAAGCAACTGGGATGTAAAGCGTGTTTCTCCAAACCTTGATTTGGAATTTAAAATGGAATTTTCTATTTTATTTTTTAAAATGCCCCTGTTTCAACTAATTTTTAATATTTTATTTTTTTCTTTTAGGAATCCAAAAGAGATCAGTGAAGAAATGCAACAAAATCATCCATTTTGCAAACAACTTTGCTGTTGAAACGCTTATCTGCGAATAATGAACTACGTGTTGTGCTCACAAATGTACCTTTTTTGCTTTTTCTGGTGTGCAATGCAGTTATCATTTTTGTAAGTGTTGTAAAAGGGGTTCATTTTGTACAACTAATTTTTTCTTCTCAGTTTAACAATGCAAAACGCAAGCAGGAACTTAGAGTGATTAGTTTATGATTAAATGCAACAATAGAAGATTTTTAGTGGGCTGTATAATGGACTGGAATTTAATTAACTTTTTTCTCCCCTTTCGTGGGGTGAAACCTGGGTTTTTCCTGTTTTTTGTCCAATGTATTTGCTGTATTAATTTGTCTACTGATGTGGGAGGGAGGGGGGAGAAAGGGGGGGGGGGAGAGCGAGAAAGGGGATGGGGGGAGCAAGAGAGGGAGGGGAGCGAGAGGGGGAGGAGGGGGGCGGAGAGGAGGGGGGCGGGAGGAGGGGGGGCGGGAGAGGAGGGGGGCGGGAGAGGAGGGGGGCGGGAGAGGAGGGGGGCGGGAGAGGAGGGGGGCGGGAGAGGAGGGGGGCGGGAGAGGAGGGGGGCGGGAGAGCAGGGGGGCGGGAGAGGAGGGGAGAGGGAGAGGAGCGGGAGGTGATAGATGATTGAAATGCATAGGATAAACCAGTAAGTTCTTGACTTAAGTACTGATTTGTATAAAACTATGTAAGGTGAAATAACACGATAAAATCATTTAACCTATTTAGTTTTTTGGACTGTTCATTTTGGGCGCAATGTAAAATCATGCCCTTATTCCAATTCAACTTGTTTGAGAACAAGACACTTGCTTTATAATAATAATAATCCTTGCGTTTGATATAGCACCTTATTACGTCTTTGAGAAATCTCAAAGCGCTTTACAGAATATACTGTAAAGTGGATTGACTATAATTTGTGGGAGAAACACGGCAGCCAATTGCGCACAACAGTGTCCCACAAATAGCTATGGATTGAGTGACCAAATTATCATTTTTTTAATTAGATTTTTTTTAAAAAAGGGATTATTCCTGGAAAAGCGTTCTGCCAATCAACTAACACACGGGTTCCTACTTACTGCTAGGTAAACAGAGGCTTGTGGAGTAAGGAAACTTGCCTGAGGTTTCTCCCTGCCTGGGAATCAAACCCAAGTCCTCTTGCTTGTGAGGCAAGTGCTCTAACCAATATGTTACAGGATTCCATGAGTCCTTTATGGATAAACAGTTGATTTCTGGAAGACNTTTTTTCATCAAGGGCTTTTTTTGTGCAGTTTTGCATAGTCTTGATGCCTCGCAAGAATTACTGCAAGGTGCAGTGAATGTGCATTTGTAGGCGAACACAGGCGTCAATTTGCACACGGCAATGTCCCACAAAAAGTGAATGATCAATTTTATCTGAAGGAATTTGGCCTGAAAATTGGGAGCAACTCACTTCTCTTTTTGATTTATAGGCATCATTCGAATGAGCTGAATATACAGCAGTGCTAAACTGCAAAAACATGTTAAAACTGTTAAGCTATGGAATAATTGAAATACACATGCTTGAATCTCATATGCTAGACCTAATATGCTCTCTTTTGCAAGACTCCAAAATCTCGTGTCTTAACTTCCATTGATCACTAAAAAATCAGCATTGTTATTCAAATTTTGTTTTTGATAAGAAATCCCATTATAAGGATCAAGTGACGAAATGCTATCTTTAGCATTCATATACGTTACACGCCATTAACCTTTCAGAATCATTCATAATTTCTCCCAGTTGGAAGGGTTTTAGTGTGATATTTAGTCATTTTGAAGATTATTAATGGTTCAATATTAGGGTTTTTATGAGGAACTGGGGAATAATTTCTATAGAATCCGTCTTATTAAATATGCAAATAGCAACTGTTCATTACATCTTGATAGCCCTCAAATCCAGCATGGTGCATTTACTAAACTCTATGCAGCAAAGTATGCTGGCTAATGGTGCGTTGAACCTGTTGTTTCCCAGTAGTAGTGAAATCAGTGAACACAGTAGTTGCAAGGATTATTACCTTTCAAAAGAATTTTCTGACGTAGAGGGCTGAGACTTGGAGCAACAGCTCATGCTAAGAGTGGAAAGATGCTGTCCCTCCATTACCGCCCCGCTCCCCCTCAGCCAAGTGTTGGGAAGAAGATTTCATTCAAATTCTAGGTAAGAGAAGTGTGTGGAATCAATCAAACCCCATTGTTCAAATCGTATTTAATACTACATTTTCATTATCGGTCTGCAGTCTGTGTATTATAAATGTGGTGATTCTTCAGTATACACCACTAAAAGAGGTTTCAGACTGACAGCTGGGAGCAACACTTCTAATGAGACTAGAGATCATCAGAAGTCTGGATGAAAAAGACATTTCGGCCCATTTGCTCTCATCCTTCCAGAATATCCAGTCTAGCCATCTTTCTTTAATAGCATCAAGCTGTTGCATAAATTAGTCCTGATATTTCCCTAGAAACCTATTCTAGTATATACCCTCTGGGTAAAGAAATATTTCCTGTGTCTGTCCTAAAATTGCCCTTTGCAACCGCAAACTTGAACCCTCTTGCTGACTTGGAATATATGAAGATACTGATCTGGGTTTACTTTCTGAAAGCATTGGTCATGGCTTAGGAATGCAATCCAGTGTATTCGGTATTCCCCATCTGTTGTTTTATATTTGGCCTTTCAATGCAGACAGTAAAGATACTAGATAATGAGAAAGACTATTAGGAAAACAACTATTCAGGAAGCATGAGTAAATTGGGGATGACAGTTTTACATTATTTGACAGTCTCCTGTGTAAGTCACCTACAGTGAAGTTGGGCTCATTTTTTCTTAATATGGTGAATACATCCACAAATATGAGGAAGAATTACTATATTAAAGGTTACAATCAACGAAGCCTGGAGGTAGCAAGAAGCATGAACACCACAGATATTGTTTAATTGGAAAGATTCCTTCAGGTTGTCAGATCACTTAAAACACAGTTGAGCACTCTGGCTGCCTATAGGTTAGACAGGTTTCAGCATAGAAGCAAAAATGTTCAATATGGAAGGAAATATTTGACCTATTGTATGTGTTTTTTCACATTATTAGTAATTTCTCTCTTTCCCCATTTCCCTTTAATGTTTTGCACTGCTCATGTGTTTGTCCAGTTCCCTTTTAATTGATTCTATTGATCCAGCCGCAATAGCTACTTGTGATAATCAATTCCATATCTCAGCAACCCTCAGACTCCACTTTCTGCAGGAGTAAAGTTTAGAGCATTACCAGAAACTTTTGTGTCCAATTTTATTTCACTGCTTTCTGTGCTCTGATGCTTTGTGTAATTAAATGGGCCTCAGAAAAGTATTTACTTCCAACTTTTGTTTAATAAAACGGGCAGAAGAAGCATGATCACACAGGCAGAGTAATTCTTTTGTGTCAGGCAGGTGCCTGACGCACACAGAAACCCATTACCATGTTTTAAGAGTATCCAAAGCAAACTGAGAATTGCATGCCTCCCAAATGGAGATTCCAGATATAAATTATTGAAATGGAATGCGCACTCTCCCTGGAAGGAAGTATCCAGTTTACCTAATTCCGGAAAGTATTAGGAGTGTGAGTTGTGGCACTGCTGGAGTCTTAACTGGCTAAAACCGTATAGCTTGTCATTGATATCACTTTCTGGCAAGCTTTCTCATTGCTTGTCCATCTAGGACTACCCTGCCTGTTAGAACTTTGGCTTGCAGGGTTAACAGGAGATGAGCGGGATGACTCCCTGGCCCCAGTGACCGGTCTACCTTTCCAAGTCATACCGATGAGCCAGGTTGACTGTACTGTCATCAGCAGTGGCCTGGAATACTGCGGACCCGCCTGGCTCAGGAACCAGACTACCGATACTGTCAGAGGGTTTGCTCGATTCTGATATTCCATTGCCAAACATGTCACTTTGGAACTTTGTAAAAATAAAGAGACATGAATTGGAGGCAGGCCTAACTGAGCGTATATACTTTGTGGGGTTTTATATATATATATATATATATATATATTGTGAGGTTTATGTGTCGTGAGGTTTTTTATATTTGGAGATTATATAGATATCCTAATATTTGGAGAGTCAGTAAAAAGCTTAGAGATTAGGCTCAGGAGATTAAATGGGTTGTGCAGAGTCCATTTTGGGGTTAATTGTACATAGTCTGTGGAATAAATACATTGAATAGCCTTATCTTGTTCCTTGCTTTCTTAAAATGTTATGAACCCACTGGAGCAGAACATCAGGACTTTACAGCAGGTAAGTTCTGCACAAACATCTGCTGCCCGAGTTCCTATAACCAGCAATTTTAAAGCACTGTAACGGATGACTTCCATTTAACATTTGGGATCACTTGGCAATCTATATCAACACTGTTCCTTTTTAAACCAGTTTCTCACACAAACACAAGGAAATGGGGGGAAAATTCCATTCAAAGGGACCAATGATTGAACACACTTGATCCAGGACTAACATTTTTACTCAATGATCCTGTGCAGTCTAGATCAGCGAGTCTTCAGGTAGGGTCTGCTTGGTAGTCCTGTGCTCTGTTATTCAGCTCTATCCCAGAGTCCCTTTGATTCCCCCCTTGCCTCACTTCCTTCAAGGTCTGCCTCAAGACCGTCCTCTTTGGGAGTCACACTTTCAGCTATCTTGTTTCCCGCCCTCGCCCCCAACATAGATGCAAACCTGAGACTGTCCAGTGGCTTGGGACATCCTCCTGATGTGAAAGGCACTTTATGAATGCAAATTTGTATTGTACTGCATTTTGCCTAAAATACTACACTATACAGAAAATCCTATGAAACGCTTTGAGGCATCTCGATGACATAAGGCAGGCACTACATCAACTCAAAAGATTATTATTTATTGTTGGTCTACACCAAACACAGACAGCCATTGAGAAGTATATGTCCTACCTTGCATCCCCTCCCCTGAGGCCCAGCTGTCTTGTGATGTGAAAAGTTTGGACAGGGATTTAATGGAAGAAGCTTTAAAGTTTTAAAAAAATCATTTTACTTTTGTAACATAGTATTGATGATTCCCTTTCCTGTTTGAGTTTTATGACTCCTATCTATGCCATGCTCCATTTGCCAGGGAGTAAAAGACAATCTACTCCCAAGTTTTTTCCGATGCTTCACCTTATCTAGCACAGGGTGATTTTTCCTCGCATTTGGTTTGTTATTTTCTCCCATGAGGAAGAGTTTGTCCTCTACTGATCTTCTTTGCTGACAGCATTGCAGGAACTCACCCTGGGGGAGGATCAAGGGCATCATGGTGAGTCCTACTGCATTTTTGACATTGCACATTTCTGCATCCAAATGGTGTGTGTCTGCTTTTTTTTCAATACAAATGCATGATAAAA